CACCTGTTGTAACCTTCAGGTTTGTGTCTAGTATCATGTCATAGTACAACCCGTTTAGCAGCCTTGTTTTTATTAAGGAAGCGAATTTCAATATATTTTATTATTATATCTTATTTTATTTATTATACCTTGAATTGTACAAGTAATGATAGACAACGTTGATTATAATAATAATAATAATAATAATAATAATAATAATAATAATAATAATAATAATAATAATAATAATAAAATTAATAATAATAAAAATAATAATAATAATAATAATAAAAATAATAATAATAATAATAATAATAATAATAATAATAATATTATTATTATTATTATTATTATTATTATTATTATTATTATTATTATAATTATTATTATTATTTTTTTTTAAGAATACTTTGACTACAAAAATTCTTTATAAAATAACTAGAAAGCAAGTATACAGTAGCAGACTGACTCTTATTCATCGAGGTTTTCATTGATTATTATTGTTTAAATTCATCTCCAGACTTGACCTTGGGATCACAGTGTAGTAATATATTGAGAATGATGATCATATAAGGAGGTAATCATATAGGTAGCAATTGTGTCCTTCACTACAAATAAGGCTACAAATATTTATTAAATATTATTTTGTTGTCGGTAACTACTAATGATCACAAAATAACAACAACAAAGGAAGAATTTTTCAGGTTTCAACGTAATGAGTGCCAAGAATAAAAATTTATAAACATTATTAAAGTATTAAATGTCGAATGTTAAGACCTTCATTTGAACTGGAAATCCATGTCGATTCCTGGAGTGCTTATAACTGCTGCGTAAACATGACTCATCACAATATTGAAACTCCTTGTGGACCCTTGCCTCTCGATTACCTGTAAGACATAACAATTAGGTATAATTGATATACGTCAGTGTAATACATAATAAATAACAATGTATGTTCATGTATCAATACACCACTCAGAAACAAGTTGAGGTATATTCTGAAAACGATCGCTGTCAGCAGGACTCAAAACCACATCATGGAAGTGGGAAAGCAATGAACTATGATGCAATAGAAATGGGCAGGAAGAATTTTCTCTGTAATGACATAGGTTAGTTTCAGGGAAACTAGCTATAAACCATCCCACGGTCGGGGATAGAACCCGCGATCAGAGTCTCAAAATTCCAGACCATCGCTTGTCATTATGATTTCGTGAGTCAAACTAGCTATAGGCAGAATGAGGTAGAGTTATTGATTTACATTGGAAATCCAATGGCAATAGGTGAAAATGACTGCAATAAAGATAGCGAAGGAGCATATTTGTGCACGGAGGTAAAAGAAAAAGAGCTTTTCTAAACATATATTATACAAATAGTCGTGGCATTACTGTTTTGGTTTCAGGTTTCTGCTTACCAGAACCCCAAGTCATTTTCCATTCTGTATAGTTATGTTCTACATTATTTAGCTTATAAGTAATAGGGTTATGAACGTTTCCGAGCTTCAGAACTTTGCATTTATCTACATTCAACGGCATCTTCCACTTTACTGACCACGAACTGAGTTTGTCTAAATCCTCCTGAAGTTCAATAAACCCTTCCCCAGAATCAATTATCCTATCTATCTTCGTGTCATCAGCAAATTTGCTCATCAAGACTTAAGAAATCGTAATGACACGATTGCAAATAAACCATACCCCCGGCCGGGATTGAACCCGCGGTCATAGAGTCTCAAAACTCCAGCCCGTCGCGCTAACCACTAGACCAGCTAGCCACAATAAGATTCATCCAACTAGGTATATTTCTACACCATAGGAAGGTTAGCACAGGCACCTCTGTGACCACAAATGCAAGTTTTTACAGACGAATCTCCAGCTAGCGTGGCCGTGACGAACTCTAGCTCAAGTCCCTTCACTGCCGTCAACATGACTTAAGAAATCTTATTGTGGCTAGCTGGTCTAGTGGTTAGCGCGACGGGCTGGAGTTTTGAGACTCTATGACCGCGGGTTCAATCCCGGCCGGGGGTATGGTTTGGTTTGCTCATCAAGGCCACTGATATATATTATAAAGAACAAAGGGCCTAAAACTGATCACTGTGGCACGCCACTTGTTACGGATCCCCACTCAAATTTTACCCCATTTATCACACTCTGCTTCCTGTTGGTGAGCCATGACTTGATCCATGACAGCACTTTTTCCCCAGTACCATGAGCTGCAATTTCTTTATCCTCTTGTACGGTACTCTACAAAAGCTTGTTAAAATCCAGTAATATCGAAATCTTTATCATGATCAACAGCCTCAAAAGTTTTACTGAAGAAGGTTTGTAAATTAGTTAGACACGAACGGCTCCTCGTGAATCCATGCTGAGTATCAATAAACGAATTATGCTTATCAAGATGCCTTCTTATAAAATCTGCTATAATTTGATTATATTAGTTACAGAGGAAGATTAAGGTCAATCAGGACCTTAATCTTCCTCTACCTCCCGGACATTTTGTCGACTTGATTGAACTCTCCATTAATTTCAATTGCTCTTCTATCAATAACAGGCTCTACAAACAATCCTATGGTATGGGAAAGAGGTCCCTCATCAGCGCCATCATAACCAACTTGTATATGGAGCACCTGAAAGCTGAACACTTCACCAGCATCATCCCTACCAGCGTCACTTGGTTACATTATGAGGACGACGTCCTCATAATATCTCCGAAGCGTTTTGATATGCTGAATTATCAGGCAAGGCTCAATGCAGTTGAACCGGCTATCCAGTTTACACTTGAAGAAGAGCCCAATTACAGGTTACCTTTTCTAGACGTGCTCATTCACAAAGTTCATTCACTGACCTAATTTTCCTCCCTTTTTCATCGAAGACTGCAAGAAAAGAACTCTTCAGATCATTAATTCTCCACGCATCAACACTACTCCTAACAAAGTTATAATCCTTCCCAATAACCAGGTTGTATTGAACGTTTTTAAAGTACTCGCAAAGACTAACACTAGAGTCGCTATCGCAACCCACACTTCCATAAAGGATCTAACCAGGACAAAATCGAACCACCACGAACCACTCACCACAGATTTACATTATACCTTGTGGAGGCTGTGACAGAATATATGCAGGAGAAACAGCAAGGATCCTCAAAACACGTCTCAGTGAACACATTAACGCATGCTGGAACAATAACTCGAAGAACGCCTGCGTACAACACCGAAATTCTTTCAATCGCCTCATGACATTCAACGATGCCCCACAGACGTAAATGCCTTAAATGATCATTAATTACTGTTTCTAACACAATCAAGCAAAATAAAGGCAGCTTTATCATCTCTGATGTATTAGCAAAAATTTTCCTCAAAAACAATTAACTCTGCCATCACATAGTCGCTGCTGCTAATACAACACAAAAACATAACGGAGGAGGAACACTGAAACAGACCTTCTTAAAACAACGACTAACAGAAACATTTGTCTAACCCATTTTTATACTACCTTTTACTCATGTGCAAGTTGACTGTTCTACACAAGAAGACATAAATGAGATTCCAGAAATGAACAATTATTCAGTTCCTGAAGAATTCAAATTACCTAATATTACTGTCACGAGGGGCATGGTTATCAAATAGATAGATAAAATGAAACAAAATAAGTTCCCGGGACCCGACGAGTTTTTTCCAGAGTACTTAAAGAATGCAAGATGGAACTTAGTCAGCCATTAACGAACGTATTTAATGTGTCCATCCTAACTGGTGTTGTGCCAGAGATGTGGAAGATAGCTATGGAGTTCCTATATTCAAATCAGGGGACAAGTCCATTCCGTCAAATTACCGTCAAATAAGCCTCACTTATATAGTAGGCAAATTATTAAAATCAGTTATAGCTGATATTATTAGAAGTCACCTTGAAGAGCATAATTTGTAATGAATCTCAGCATTGGTTCACAAGAGATCGTTTGTTGCATGCAAAGAGTATGTTCCCTTTATTCGGAGCATGTGAACACACACATAAAGGGCTACCTCCCCAACCAGCGAATCAGGTCGCTAAGGGTTTGATGATTTCGAGGCCCCATCATCAAATCAGCACCTAGGTTCAGCCAATCACATTGTGGAAGTAGCAGTTTTGAAGGTGACGTGGATACCACTCACATTCTCACCCCTGTCATTTTCACCCAGCTGTTGGTTGAACACGGTTGTCCAGTGTCTCCAGGCTGTCTTTGCCTTTCTTTACCATGTTGTACACATATATTTCCAAACTGTATATAGTGTACATACTTGTAAATACTTATAATAGCACTTGGTGAAGGAAAAGTCATTCAGCTGTGTTTGTTCTGCTCCTTCCTGCTGGCACTTCATCCTCCTAATGTTGACTATCTTTGCTCATGCCAGGCTGTTTAGAAGAGAGATGGGACCGCTCGGGCAAGGAGCGTTTGGTTTAAAAAGTATCAGCCAACCTGGCTGCCTCCAATGCAGTGGTTAAGACATAGTCCTGCAGAAAGACTCTAACCTCTGGTCCCACAGACTCCAGCAGGTTATCCACTAAGATGAGTTGAATTAACTCATCGAAGGGTGCGACAGCCCTTACTTTATACCAGCTGGTAAAAGCTTTGGTCTGCTGTCGAACAAAGTGCACAAAAGATTGACCAAGCTGTCGTCTGCCTAACTTGAATGTCTTCCTATACTTATCAGGGATACACTGATACGCTCCAAGAACTGTAGTCTTCGCCACTGATGTAAATTCCTGTCTTACGAAGGAAAGCTGTATGCACCAAAGATGACCAATGCTGTTCAGGCCACCTTAAGGCTCGAGCCTAATTTTCGAAAGTTTCAAGAAATTGTTCAGGTTCTGTCTCAATGAAACGAGGAACCAGCTGTACTACTTTTTGCAAACTAAAATCATTTACAACTTGAGAACATTGCCTCCATTCTTTTTCCCTATCAAATACTGAAGCCTTCGATAGAATACCTCATATAAGACTCTTAAGAAAAGTGGCAGCTCGTGGTATAGGAGGTAAAGTTCTAGCATGGATAG